GCAAAATATTTTACTTGTAAAACAAATCCAAGCAATGGTTTTTGCAACATGCAATCAAGCATCGTGCTATAGTAAGAAACTTGTATACCTTTATAGGAAAACATGTTTTTGGGTATTTTCACAGTCACGAGTAAAAATGAAACATCTCTATCCTTAAATGTAAAAATATTCAAAGTTTAGTCCTTAAATGTTAAAAACTTAATAGTTGAGGCCTTGTCCTGTTAAGAGAAGTTTAGGGACTCATTTCATTACAATGTTTACTAAACAAATGGCTTGCTAGACTAATGACATGTAAGTGCACACTTGGCATGTGAGTGTACAGTGAGAGAGGTGCAGTGTAAAGAATGGACCTGCTGCAATGGAATTCATCTCCATTTCCATTTTGACAGACTCCGCGCCACCTTGATGGGACGGGACCATACCCTTCATCCGAAAAGCTCCTTGATTCCGGCCAAACGCCTGAATCAAAGTTATAAGATTAAATTCACAGACAACAACACTGAAGGGATACTGAAAGCAGCATTGGATGGTCAAAAGCTATTTGCCATTGATCCTATGACTGTTAGATTCATACACACATGCCGCCCAAAGCAGTGGACTAACCAAAAGCAGTTTGTTTTCAAGGTATAATAAAAACTCACAATGCAGGAATATAATAAAAATTTCTTAATTAAGGTGAAATCCAATGGATAAAAGACTCTGAAATTTACCGGTATCAAGGTTTCCAATGATGGTGTCTTTCCCAAACCTTGCCTTCTTCCAGATTGCTTCCGAAAGAATAATCCCGTCTCTTTTCAATCTCAAAATTTCCCATGAATGAGTTGTGTGCAGTTTCCTTGGCTTGTTTGGGAAAACAGAAATCACATCCGAACGTTCTACATTGAATCAGAACAAGAATAAAAATCTAGAAAAACAGAGGAAAACAGAATAACCGCATGCAGGAATTAAACTGCATTGTGCATACTTGCTAACTACACAGCTTCCCCTTCGTCCAGGACCGCGGCAAAACCATTGATGGAATGAGTATGTGAGTAAAAAATCTTGTCCCTAGCAATCTCAGCACTGCAATAGTAAAGAGAAATCAATGCATCGAACTGTAAAATCATAGGAATATCTCATCTCCTAAGGAAAGAAGCAGAGAATTTGATGCATGGAAGATAGGGGTAGAATAAATAGAAACTAAGAACTCCGTAAAATTAAAGATGGAACCAAGAAAACTTAGGTTTTGAACCTCAAGTTTATTCTCAAAAGCTAATTTTGAGTTCTTTGATTAACCATATATAATTTGAACTTCTAATAAACTACAAAGTCTAATCCTAATTAAAAGTCACATGCTATCCACATGACTTTCCTAAAATTAAAACTTAGACTCCAAATAAAACAGGTTTTGATTCCTTTTCTTGCTTACTTTCTCTTCCATCTAAGTAAGAGCAGGTTGAAGCTCATAGGTAGTTGCCTAAGCACGAAGAAGCTCCAATCATGCTACTTCAGTTATATATATATATGTGCTGAACACATGCAAGTGGAACATGGTTTTCGATCAAGTCAGGGGGGAAGAAGCAGGGTAGAGGAATTGGTCAACTCATCAGGCTCATGACCTGAAGATTGCAGGTTTGAATCCTACTCCCGCCTAATCACTGGAGATGCTGGACTGAGATTCTGCTCTTTTTTGATTGCATCCTAGGTAAGTCTTTTTTGCTCCCTCCCCCCATTATTGATGCAACTCAATAACCAAAAAAAAGAAATGTAATTCTAACATGATCAACTTTAAAATGAGCAAGCTGTTCAAAGAAGGCTATTAAAGTAGCGAAGAAAAAGGGCAGGGCCTGAATTCAGACCAAACTTAATGCAAAACAAACAGCCCTAAAACTAATCATTAAAAAGAACTCAATGCTCCCGCATCAGAAGTCAATTCCTAAGGAAAGAAACAGAGAATTCAATTTCAATACCTTCCGATGACAGAACTCAGAATCTTGTAATGGGAAGTTGTCGCTTGATTGAGTTCAAGTGAGGTTGGCTCTGGCCCATGTGTGTGTTCTCCCAAGTACACTACATAAGGCTGAAAAACAAGAAAAACAGAAAATTCAATTCAGAGAGAACCGGATACATTGTGAAAGACAACCCAGAATGAGTTTTGAACAAAATAAATACACCTTTTGCACGGTAAAAGTGGGACTGAGAATAAAAGAGAAAAGAACGAGAGGGAAAAGAATCGTCATTGTTGATTTTGTTCCTTAGGTTTGTGAGGAGAAGATTGTTTCTGTTGCTTAGGTTTGTGAAGTGTGAAGAGAAGAAGATGAAATAACTACTGCGAACAGCCAAAACCCCAGGAATAGTAAACTGCCAAAACTCAGGAATCCATTCCACAGGTTTTTGGAAACATTCCACACTCCACTTATTTTGTACATGTTATAAAGCGTGGTTAGTGTGGGTAGAGGTGTTGAATTGGTGGGGTTTGGAGAGTGTTTTACCCAATACAGTTATGGGAGTGGCAGATTTTTTCATAGATGTGTTGGGCAGTACAGTAGGAAAGGAGATGGGCTCTTGTGTTTTTCTGGCAGCTGCTTGGTATGTATGGTATAGAAGGAATACTCAGATATTTCGAGAAGATGAAGGAATTCCAGAGAAAATGCTGGAAAGGGTGCAAGCAAAAACCTTTTTATGGTTGAAGTCTAAAGTGAAGGGATGCGTTTTTTCCTTTTATGAATGGCAATCTTGTCCGATGGAATGTGCAAAGGCTGTCAAACGGCATAAAAGGATGAGGAAGCAATTCTCGAAGGCAGTAGTGGCCCCTAGCTAACGGGGGGGAGGTTCACAATCTGCTCTTTTAGTCTGCTCTTTTAGTCTGTTGTATGGGTTCTGAAGGACATGGTGATGTTTTGGGTGTGCAGGCCGTTATAAGTTGCTGGAAACGGCTTAGTGTTATTTCCTTCTCCTGTAGACTTCTTCCTGATGGCTGTCCTGAGCTTTTGTGTTTCTTGAATGTAGTAGGTAAATTGTGTTGTGTATCTTGATTCCACCGGACTGTACTCTGTTTTAGGAGTATTTCTTATGCTCCTTCTCTAATACATATCGTATGTTGCTTTGCTGATCAAAAAAAAAAAGACATTCCATAACGGCTCAGTGTTGTATGTGATTTTAACTTTGTGTTATGTACTATAACTTTTATTGAATACTAAAAAAATTATCATTTTTTATTTTGTTGTCTTATTGCTGGCTCGTGGAATAGTCTTTCTTTTAGAATGTGTTTTGGTTTGAGCATTGCATCACTAAATTTTAACCGAATCCTCTTTTTAAGATAAATACAATTTTCTTTGTTTGACCTTTTTTGATGTTGCGAATCCTATATGCAGAAAGGAATTGATCAGAATTGAACAGCTGCCTTAGAGTATAATCCAGAGGATTGTGCGAGGACGGTCAGTACACTTTTCAGTTATATGTAACTCTTGAATTCTTTTCCCCTGGTTTCCTCTTCGAAGTTTAATATTTATTCTCAATTTTTGCAGGTTATGTTGTATGATGACAGGGAGGTTAATGGTGTCGCATTGAAGGTATAATCTAGACAATTTAGAATAGCTTATCTTGTGCTCATGATGCTCTTATATTATTGTTATGCTAAATGACATAATTTAAGCTTAGGACTCCAATTATTTTTATGATTTAGATTAATATACATTTTTTTTCAAATCTAAATATCAATATTTAATGAAATAAATTTTTAAATTTCAAATTGATTTTTAATTAAATAAACTGACATAAATTAAGGTTTGGATTCCAATTGTTTTTAGAAGTTGGGATTGATATTCACTTTTTTCATAGTTAATTCCATAGTTAATATGCCATCTATAAGATTTTAGGCCTATAATTCTACATGATATTAAATAAATATAATATGATATTAAACTAATAAATGTATAAAATATTATAAGTAAATTTTTGAATAAAAATAGTTAATTAAAAAATGACACATTATATTATAAATTTATAATATTATATGGTATGTAACTAAAGCATTTTTAATGCCAATAACTTAAATAACTTAGTAATTATTTTCTTCAACTGGAAGTAAGAAATTATAAGTTTGAGTTATATGACATGTGGATGGGGTAAGGGATAAGAGATGGTTGCCTTCCATTGTACAATTAAGATAAAAAAAATAAAATAATACTATAGCATTTTTAATAAAATATTTTAAATTATTAAAAAAAAGGGGTCAATTTTAAATTGATAGATAGAACTAGTCAATTAAACCAACTGAATTAGAACAGATGTAAAAAGGAGTCAGTTACCAAATTAAGTTTTAAAACATTAAGTAAATTAAATTAAGATTTGAAAGAAAATATGTCCGTTTTGGTAAGAATTACTTTAATTTTAAATTTATGAATTTTTTTCTTAATTATAGAGAATGTTGGGCTTACATTCCATATATAAATTAGTTTATTCCTTTTCTTGGAAAAGAAATAAAAACACTGCACATATATAAATCCAAGCAAAGGGAAGGAAGAGGACACAGCCCAAGGAAAGAAAAAGGAGAGAAAGGAACAAAAAGATCCAAATATGTACGGGAAATGGCCTCCTTACCCTCCTTGTGTTAATGACGATTGTACCACTCGTCCATGCTGTGCTGGTGGTATGCAGTGTATTCTTTTCCTTTCGAAATGAACGGGATGTTTTATTTTTATAA